ACACACACACCGACACACACACACCGACACACACACACCGACACACACACACCGACACACACACACCGACACACACACACCGACACACACACACCGACACACACACACCGACACACACACACCGACACACACACACCGACACACACACACCGACACACACACACCGACACACACACACCGACACACACACACCGACACACACACACCGACACACACACACCGACACACACACACCGACACACACACACCGACACACACACACCGACACACACACACCGACACACACACACCGACACACACACACCGACACACACACACCGACACACACACACCGACACACACACACCGACACACACACACCGACACACACACACCGACACACACACACCGACACACACACACCGACACACACACACCGACACACACACACCGACACACACACACCGACACACACACACCGACACACACACACCGACACACACACACCGACACACACACACCGACACACACACACCGACACACACACACCGACACACACACACCGACACACACACACCGACACACACACACCGACACACACACACCGACACACACACACCGACACACACACACCGACACACACACACCGACACACACACACCGACACACACACACCGACACACACACACCGACACACACACACCGACACACACACACGACACACACACACCGACACACACACACCGACACACACACACCGACACACACACACCGACACACACACACCGACACACACACACCGACACACACACACCGACACACACACACCGACACACACACACCGACACACACACACCGACACACACACACCGACACACACACACCGACACACACACACCGACACACACACACCGACACACACACACCGACACACACACACCGACACACACACACCGACACACACACACCGACACACACACACCGACACACACACACCGACACACACACACCGACACACACACACCGACACACACACACCGACACACACACACCGACACACACACACCGACACACACACACCGACACACACACACCGACACACACACACCGACACACACACACCGACACACACACACCGACACACACACACCGACACACACACACCGACACACACACACCGACACACACACACCGACACACACACACCGACACACACACACCGACACACACACACCGACACACACACACCGACACACACACACCGACACACACACACCGACACACACACACCGACACACACACACCGACACACACACACCGACACACACACACCGACACACACACACCGACACACACACACCGACACACACACACCGACACACACACACCGACACACACACACCGACACACACACACCGACACACACACACCGACACACACACACCGACACACACACACCGACACACACACACCGACACACACACACCGACACACACACACCGACACACACACACCGACACACACACACCGACACACACACACCGACACACACACACCGACACACACACACCGACACACACACACCGACACACACACACCGACACACACACACCGACACACACACACCGACACACACACACACCGACACACACACACCGACACACACACACCGACACACACACACCGACACACACACACCGACACACACACACCGACACACACACACCGACACACACACACCGACACACACACACCGACACACACACACCGACACACACACACCGACACACACACACCGACACACACACACCGACACACACACACCGACACACACACACCGACACACACACACCGACACACACACACCGACACACACACACCGACACACACACACCGACACACACACACCGACACACACACACCGACACACACACCGACACACACACCGACACACACACACCGACACACACACACCGACACACACACACCGACACACACACACCGACACACACACACCGACACACACACACCGACACACACACACCGACACACACACACCGACACACACACACCGACACACACACACCGACACACACACACCGACACACACACACCGACACACACACACAGACACACACACACCGACACACACACACCGACACACACACACCGACACACACACACCGACACACACACACCGACACACACACACCGACACACACACACCGACACACACACACCGACACACACACCGACACACACACACCGACACACACACCGACACACACACACCGACACACACACACCGACACACACACACCGACACACACACACCGACACACACACACCGACACACACACACACACCGACACACACACACACACCGACACACACACACACACCGACACACACACACACACCGACACACACACACACACCGACACACACACACCGACACACACACACACACACCGACACACACACACCGACACACACACACCGACACACACACACCGACACACACACACACACCGACACACACACACACACCGACACACACACACACACCGACACACACACACACACCCACACACACACACACACCGACACACACACACACACCGACACACACACACACACCGACACACACACACACACCGACACACACACACACACCGACACACACACACACACCGACACACACACACACACCGACACACACACACACACCGACACACACACACACACCGACACACACACACACACCGACACACACACACACACCGACACACACACACACACCGACACACACACACACACCGACACACACACACACACCGACACACACACACACACCGACACACACACACACCGACACACACACACACACCGACACACACACACACACCGACACACACACACACACCGACACACACACACACACCGACACACACACACACACCGACACACACACACACACCGACACACACACACACACACCGACACACACACACACACCGACACACACACACACACACCGACACACACACACACAAAGATCAAAGATCCCCCATATAGCCTTAACAGACTGTAGGGGCAAGTGCTGTTAGCGACCACCTATGAAGGCCGGAACGGTACACGAGGGGGTGGGTGGCCAGCACCACGCCCGACCGCCTTTGTCTCCCTAGTGGCAATGTTTACACACCGCACCAGGTACTCATTTGAGGCTGAGTCGACCTAGGGGAGGCCCAGGACCGGTTCAGATAATCGTCACTGGTGTTGGCCGTGAGCGGGAATCGAACCTGGGTCGCCAGGTTCATAGCGCAGCGCGCTAACCGCTACACTATCGCTCCCCACAGACCGACACACACACACCGACACACACACACACCGACACATACACCGACACACACACACAGACACACACACCGACACACACACACAGACACACACACACATAAACACAGAGACACAGACACACACACAGATACACAGAGACACAGACACACACACATAGACACAAAGAGACACAGACACACAGAGACAGACACAGACACACACACAGACACACACACAGAGACACACACAGAGACACACACACACCGACACCGACACACACCGACACACACACACAGACGCACACACCAACACATACACACACCGACACACACACCGACACACACACACCGACACACACAAACTGACACCGACACACACCGACACACACACCAACACATATACACACAGACACACACACCGACACACACACCGACACATAGACACACACACACACCGACACACACACACAGACGCACACACCAACACATACACACACCGACACACACACCGACACACACACACTGACACGCACACACCGACATATATACACACAGACACACACACACTGACACACACACACACACCAACACACACACACCGACACGCACACACCAACACACACACACACACACCGACACACACCGACACACACACACCGACACATACACACCGACACATACACCGACACACACAGACACACACACATAAACACAGAGACACAGACACACACACAGATACACAGACACACACACATAGACACAAAGAGACACAGACACCCAGAGACACACACACAGACACACACACAGACACACAGACACACACACAGAGACACACACCGACACCGACACACACACACACCGACACATACACACACAGACACACACACTGACACACACACACTGACACACACACACCGACACACACACACTGACACACACACACCGACACACACACACACCGACACCGACACACACACACCGACACACACACAGACGCACACACCAACACATATACACACAGACACACACACCGACACACACACGGACACATAGACACACACACAGACGCACACACCAACACATACACACACCGACACACACACACACTGACACGCACACACTGACACGTACACACCGACATATAACAAAGAAAAAAACAAAGATCCCCCATATAGCCTTAACAGACTGTAGGGGCAAGTGCTATTAGCGAGCACCTATGAAGGCCGGAACGGTACACAAGGGGGTGGGTGGCCAGCACCACGCCCGACCGCCTTTGTCTCCCTAGTGGCAATGTTTACACACCGCACCAGGTACTCATTTGAGGCTGAGTCGACCTATGGGAGGCCCTGGACCGGTTCAGATAATCGTCACTGGTATTGGCCGTGAGCGGGAATCGAAACCCGGGTCGCCAGGTTCATAGCTCAGCGCGCTAACCGCTACACTATCGCTCCCCATACACCGACATATATACACACAGACACACACACACCGACACACACACAGACACACACAGACACACCGACACACACACACCGACACCCCGCGCTGGTATTAACATCGCCTCGAGTCTCAATTTCCATTTTGTCCCCATTGTTGCCACCCATTCCAGTTCTAGCTAGATCGGGGTAGTCAGCGTAAGAGGTCAGTCACCCTTCCTGAGGTGCGGGTACCTCTTGTACCCTACCCACACATACCACCCCCACCACCACCACCAGCATACTCTCACACCCTGGCCAGGTGTATATATACACGCACACACTCTCGCACGCCGACCTATCTAGACATCATATTCTGCGCGCGTCCCACAGATCCGAGGCTTCTGAACTACTCGCCACAGGTAATGATCAGCGGTGAAGGGGCAGGTGGGAGAGGTCATATTGGCCGTGTCGGAAACGCTGAGCCAGCCCTGCTGATTCACCCGGGTTCTGGGTGTCTCTTATAGTGCGGGAGAGATCTTAGTGGCCGTGTCAGATATGTTGAGATAGTGCTGCTGAATCACCTGGGTCCTGGGTGTCTCTTATAGTGTGGGAGAGATCTTAGTGGCCGTGTCAGATATGATGAGATAGTGCTGCTGAATCACCTGGGTCCTGGGTGTCTGTTATAGTGTGGGAGAGATCTTAGTGACCGTGTCAGATATGATGAGGTAGTCCTGCTGATTCACCTGGGTTCTGGGTGTCTCTTATAGTGCGGGAGAGATATTAGTGGCCGTGTAGGAAATGCTGAGCCAGCCCTGCTGAATCACCTGGGTCCTGGGTGTCTCTTATAGTGCGGGAGAGATCTTAGTGGCCGTGTCAGATATGATGAGATGGTCCTGCTGAATCACCTGGGTTCTGGGTGTCTCTTATAGTGTGGGAGAGATCTTAGTGGCCGTGTCAGATATGATGAGATGGTCCTGCTGAATCACCTGGGTTCTGGGTGTCTCTCATAGTGTGGGAGAGATCTTAGTGGCCGTGTCAGATATGTTGAGATAGTCCAGCGTAACTTACAGCTCACTTGGTCTGCAAAAAAAACCTCTTTCTACTCATGATTAACATTACTATTAACATGATTAACATCACCATGTATTTGTTTAGTCAACCGTTGGGAAGCAACGGAGTTCAGCAATGCTCGCTCGGTAAAGTCACCACGTAGAATGAGAATAAAATAATAAATTGATAAAATAAAATAACACAATAATATTCTCACGACGTTTCGGCCACAACACAAGCGGCCTTCATCAGGTGAAGGGACGAGACTGTCTGGTAGGACAGCACTCCAGCACTCCAGCGCTGTCCTACCAGACAGTCTCGTCCCTTCACCTGATGAAGGCCGCTTGTGTTGTGGCCGAAACGTCGTGAGAATATTTATTGTGTTATTTTATTTTATCAATTTATTATTTTATTCTCATTCTACGTGGTGACTTTACCGAAAGAACCAAAGAAGATGCGCTAAGGTGCTTACAAAGCTAACCTCAGTTGTCGTGATTTATTTTTTTGTTTTCGTTTGTCCGCGTTGGGGGTTTAGATCGCGTCATTGGTAGCAATGCTCTGAGTCGTTCCACCACCACCACCACACAGCCAATTGGCAAAGTCGATGGTTCATTGCCGCGTTAACAAGACGTGACCGATGCCTTTACTCAAGGCAGTAGCTATGGAGTGAATATTGGGGGGACCAAATCTTCCAGGGGGTCTGGGGGTCCCCCTAATATTCACCACCCCCCCCCCCCCCAGAAAAAAAATCTAAATTTGAAAACGAATTTCCTGCCTAAAATTGTCCAAAAAAATAAACCACTAACACACAGGATGGACTATTTCTTTATTTCTTACAAAAAATTATGATAGTCTATTGTATTTTTATACCTTTTCTGTTTCGTTGTATACAATGGCAGAGATTGGGGATTAATAAAGTAACAACCATAACCACAATCATATAAACAGAAATCGATTTTATAGCAATATACTGGGGGGGGGGGGAGACATTTTGACCATATTTGAATATAATAATGACGACCTTGACTTTACCTATCTCTGTACTAGAACCGGCTGCGTGCGTTTGAGAGTTTTAAAAAAATAACAAAAAAATCTACTTTTACAAATCAACGTATCGAGTGTTGGTGGGTGGGTTTGGGGGAGCGGTGGCGCAGCGGTTAGCGCCACGCTCCGCTGGGTGGCGACCCGGGTTCGATTCCCGCTCGCGGATCAAACACCGGTGACGATTCTCTGAACCCGGTACTGGGGGAGCTCCCGTAGGTCGACTCAGCCTCAAATGAGTACCCGGTGAGGTGTGTAGCAAACATCGCCACTGGGGAGACAAAGGCGGTCGAGCGTGGTGCTGACCCAACCATACCGCTCGTGTGCCACAGTAGCGCTGCTCCTCGCTACTAACAGCACTTGCCCCAGCAGTCTGTTAGAGGCTACACGGGGGATCTTTGTCTGTGTATAGGCGCTGCTACTCGCTACTATTAACAGCACTTGCCCCTGCAGTCTGTTAGAGGCTACACGGGGGATCTTTGGGTATAAGCGCTGCTGCTACTCGCTAACTAACAGCACTTGCCCCTGCAGTCTGTTAGAGGCTACATGGGGGACCTTTGTCTGTGTATAGGTGCTGCTGCTACTCGCTACTACTAGCAGCACTTGCCCCTGCAGTCTGTTAGAGGCTACACGGGGGATCTTTGTGTATAAGCGATGCTGCTACTCGCTAACTTGCCCCTGCAGTCTGTTAGAGGCTACACGGGGGATCTTTGTCTGTGTATAGGTGCTGCTGCTACTCGCTAACAGCACTTGCCCCTACAGCCCTGTTAGAGGCTACACGGGGGATCTTTGTCTGTGTATAGGTGCTGCTGCTACTCGCTAACAGCACTTGCCCCTGCAGTCTGTTAGAGGCTACACGGGGGATCTTTGTCTGTGTATAGGCGCTGCTACTCGCTACTAACAGCACTTGCCCCTACAGTCTGTTAGAGGCTACACGGGGGATCTTTGTCTGTGTATAGGCGCTGCTACTCGCTACTAACAGCACTTGCCCCTGCAGTCTGTTCGAGGCTACACGGGGGACCTTTGTCTGTGTATAGGTGCTGCTACTCGCAACTAACAGCACTTGCCCCGGCAGTCTGTTAGAGGCTACACGGGGGATCTTTGCCTTGTTGTGATTCGGTTACCGACACATTTATAAATTTCAACGAGATCGAACCCAAGCAAACCTCGATACATGGATAGCATTGGGTCCCGAGAGCCCTACCACGATCACTACTACACAAACCTGTCAACCCCTTATCAATGCCTACTTTATTACAGACCGATTCAGACTACCATACACTATACACTACACTACTATACACTACACTACTATACACTACACTACTATACATTAACCTATACACTACACTACTATACACTACACTATACACTACACTATACACTACACTATAATACACTACGCTATACACTACACTATACACTACACTATACACTACTATACACTACACTACTATACACTACACTATACATTAAACTATACACTACTATACACTACACTACTATACACTACACTATACTATACACTACACTATACACTACACTACTATAAACTATACTATACACTACACTATACACCAAAATACTATACACTACACTACTATACACTACACTATACACTACACTAGTATACACTACACTACTATACACTGATATACACCACACTACTATACACAATATAATACTATACAGTACACTATACATTACACGACTATACACTACAATACTAGATATCGGTCAACCACTTATCAGTGCCGTAGCTTATTACAGACGAATTCACACCTTATTGATTACCCCGTGCCCCTTATTAATCTCAACGTTCATCCTACAAAGTCCCATCACAAGGGAGAAGCACAAACAGAAAGATACACAATTATATAAATGTTTTTTTGCCCGTATTGAAACGGCTGTACGCTGTATGGACTTGCAAACAATTTCCCTGTACAAGAATATGGGGTAAACCGTATGGGTTGACAAGCATGGTATAGTAGTGTAGTATATAGTGTAGTGTATAGTAGTGTATAGTGTAGTGTATATCAGTGTAGTATATAGGAGTGTAGTGTATGGTATAGTTTATAGTAGTGTAGTGTATAGTAGTGTAGTGTATAGTAGTGTAGTGTATAGTGTAGTGTATAGCAGTGTAGTATATAGCAGTGCAGTATATAGTGTAGTGTATAGTAGTGAGTGTATAGCAGTGTAGTATATAGTAGTGTAGTGTATGGTATAGTGTATAGTAGTGTATAGTAGTGTAGTATAGTATATAGTGTAGTGTATAGCAGTGTAGTATATAGCAGTGTAGTATATAGTAATGTAGTGTATAGTGTAGTGTATAGTAGTGTAGTGGTATAGTGTAGTGTAGATTAATGTAGTGTATAGTATATAGTAGTATTGTGTACAGTAGTGTAATGTATAGTGTAGTGTATAGTGTAGTATATAGTAGTGTAGTGTATAGTGTAGTGTATAGTAGTGTATTGTAGTGTATTGTAGTATATTGTATAGTGTAGTGTATAGTGTAGTGTATAGTAGTGTAATGTATAGTAGTGTAGTGTATAGTTTAGTGTATAGTTTAGTGTATAGTAATCTAGTGTATAGTGTAGTGTATATTGGTATAGTAGTGTATAGTGTAGTGTATATTGGTATAGTGTATAGTGTAGTATATAGTAATGTAGTGTATAGTGATCTAGTGTATAGTGTAGTGTATATTCGTATAGTGTATAGTAGTGTATAGTGTAGTGTATATTGGTATAGTGTATAGTAGTGTATAGTGTAGTGTATATTGGTATAGTGTATAGTAGTGTATAGTGTAGTGTATTGTATTGACACGGTATCACTATCACGTGTTAAAACAATTGCCCTTGTTCCTTCAACCACGTGGTCCGGAGTAGGAGTTCACCCATGGCGAACGACAGGAAAACGCGCGGAGATCGCGCCCGCGAATCGCTCGCCTCCTGGAGAGCATTCCTGTGGAACCCGCGAACAAGGGAGTTCTTGGGTCGAACCGGGACCAGCTGGGGTGAGATGGCACACACGCACACATACACAGCACTTTACATACATACGTATCTTTACATACACACAGCACTTTACACACACAGCACTTTACATGCATACGTAACTTTACATTCACACATCACTTTACATAAATATGTAACTTTACATACACACAGCACTTTACATACATACATACATAACATTATATACACACAGCACTTTACATAAATATGTAACTTTACATACACACAGCACTTTACATAAATATGTAACTTTACATACACACAGCACTTTACACACACACAGCACTTGACATGCATACGTAACTTTAGATTCACACAGCACTTTACATAAATATAACTTTACATACACACAGCACTTTACACACACACACAGCACTTTACATACATACGTACATTTACATACACACAGCACTTTACATACATACGTAAATTTACATACAAACAGCAATTTATATACATACGTAACTTTACATTCACACAGCACTTTACATAAATATGTGACTTTACATACACACAGCACTTTACACACACACGCACACAGCACTTTACATATATATGTAACGTTGCATACACACAGCACTTTACATACACACAACACTTTACATACATACTAAACTTTACATACATACATAACTTTACATACACACAGCACTTTACATACATACGTACATTTACATACACACAGCACTTTACATACATACGTAAATTTACATACAAACAGCACTTTATATACATACGAAACTTTACATACACACATCACTTTACACACACAGCACTTTACATGCATACGTAACTTTACATACACACAGTACTTTACATACACACATCAATTTACATACATACTAAGCTTTACATACATGCAGAACTTTACATACACACATACATCACTTTACATAGAGCACTCACAAGGAGTTCCTGGGTCGAAAAAGGACCAGCTAGTGTGAGATGGCACACACACACATCACTTTACATACACACAGCACTTTACACACAAACACACACAGCACTTTACATACACACAGCACTTTCATACACACAGCACTTTACACACACACACAGCACTTTACACACACACACCACTTTACATACACACAGCACTTTACACACACACACAGCACTTTACATACACACAGCACTTTACACACACACACCACTTTACATACACACAGCACTTTACATACACACATCACTTTATATACATACATCACTTTACACACACACACCACTTTACATACACACAGCACTTTACATACACACAGCACTTTACACACACACATCACTTTACATACACACAGCACTTTGCACACACACATCACTTTACATACACACAGCACTTTACACACACACATCACTTTACACACCACTTTACACACACACATCACTTTACATACACACAGCACTTTACACACACACACCACTTTACACACACACATCACTTTAGATACACACAGCACTTTACATACACACAGCACTTTACATACACACAGCACTTTACACACACATCACTTTACATACACACAGCACTTTACATACACACATCACTTTACATACACACAGCACTTTGCACACACACACATCACTTTACATACACACACCACTTTACATACACACATCACTTTACATACACACATCACTTTACATACACACAGCACTTTACATACACACAGCACTTTACACACACACATCACTTTACACACACACATCACTTTACACACACACATCACTTTACATACACACACCACTTTACACACACACATCACTTTACATACACACAGCACTTTACACTCACACACCACTTTACATACACACAGCACTTTACACACACACACATCACTTTACATACACACATCACTTTACATACACACAGCACTTTACACACACACATCACTTTACACACACACATCACTTTACATACACACAGCACTTTACATACACACATCACTTTACATACACACATCACTTTACATACACACAGCACTTTACGCACAAACACACACAGCACTTTACATACACACACACATCACTTTACATGCACACATCACTTTACATACACACATCACTTTACACACACATCACTTTACATACACACAGCACTTTACGCACAAACACACACAGCACTTTACATACATACAGAATTTGGTGGCGAGGAGATGTTAACTACCTCGCCAGGTGTACAGGAGGTCGTGGGTTCGATCCCGACCCTGACAATGCCTGCTGCTGAATATTTGGAGTCTGCGTTTCTCTCTCTCTCATCATCATCATCACGGTAGCTAGGAGATGTTGACTACCTCGCCTGGTGCGCAGGAGGTCGTGGGTTCGATCTCGACCCTGACGATGCCTGCTGCTGCTGTGTATTTGGAGTTTGAGTGTCTCTCTCTCTCATCATCAGCATCATCATCACGGTGACTCAGAGATGTTTACTACCTCGCCTGGTGCGCAGGAGGTCGTGGGTTCGATCCCGACCCTGACAACGCCTGCTGCTGCTGCTGTGTATTTGAAGTCTGCGTGTTTCTCTGCCCGGTGGCCACGTTGATTCTTCTCCCCCACATTTAGAATCAACATCATCACGCGTTTGGAGCATTTGGCTACTGCTATCAATGTCCACGCGATGATGATGATGATAAGCCACAAGTTCGTTGAGCTCTCGTCATGTAATAACAAGGGGCCGCTTCTGAAAAAGAGCCAGGTCGCAGCTCAGTGTGGGCACCTTCTAAGGCAATTCCACAAACTCGTGTAATGTTAATAACCCTATGTGTCCTGACTTTTGGGCCACCCTGTATATATTCGCTTCTATCCTTTTAAGGCCACGTACACAACACACGCGATGTTGTTGTTGTTATTTACACCACGACTGCCAACAGCTGCATTACTCATAGACTCAGCACTGCACCATAGACTCAGCACTGCTCATATATTCAACACTGCAACATAGACTCAATACTGCACCACAGACTCAACACTGCACCATAGACTCAGCACTGCCCATAAAATCAACACTGCCCACGGACGCAACACTGCCCATAGACTCAACACTGCACCATAGACTCAACACTGCCCATAGACTCAACACTGCCCATAGACTCAACACTGCACCATAGACTCAGCACTGCCCACAGACTCAACACTGCCCATAGACTCAGCACTGCCCCATAGACTCAGCACTGCCCATAGACTCAACACTGCCCATAAACTCAGCACTGCCCCATAGACTCAGCACTGCCCATAGACTCAACACTGCCCATAAACTCAGCACTGCCCCATAGACTCAGCACTGCCCATAGACTCAACACTGCCCACAGACTCAACACTGCCCACAGACTCAAGACTTCCCATAGACTCAGCACTACCCACTGTAGTGCTGAGTCTATGGGCAACACAGCCTATAGACTCAACACTGCCCCATAGACTCAACACTGCCCCATAGACTCAGCACTGCCCTATAGACTCAGCACTGTCCATAGACTCAACACTGCCCCATAGACTCAGCACTGCCCATAGACTCAGCACTGCACCAAAGACTCAGCACTGCCCACAGACTCAACACTGCCCATAGACTCAGCACTGCACCATAGACTCAACACTGCCCATAGACTCAGCACTGCCCATAGACTCAGCACTAGCCACTGACGCAAGACAGCCTATAGACTCAACACTGTCCCATAGACTCAGCACTGCCCATAGACTCAACACTGCCCCATAGACTCAGCACTGCCCACGGACTCAACACTGCCCATAGACTCAACACTGCCCACAGACTCAAGACTGCCCCATAGACTCAGCACTGCCCCACAGACTCAGCACTACCCACTGTAGTGCTGAGTCTATGGGCAACACTGCCTATAGAATCAACACTACCCACAGACTCAACACTGCCCCACAGACTCAACACTGCCCCATAGACTCAGCACTGCCCCATAGACTCAACACTGCCCATAGACTCAGCACTGCCCATAGACTCAGCACTGCCCCACAGACTCAACACTACCCACAGACTCAACACTGCCCACAGACTCAACACTACCCACAGACTCAACACTGCCCACAGACTCAACACTACCCACAGACTCAACACTACCCACAGACTCAACACTGCCCACAGACTCCACACTGCACACAGACTCAGCACTGCACCATAGACTCAACACTGCCCACAGACTCCAAATTGCACCATAGACTCAGCACTGCACCATAGACTCAGCACTGCCCCACAGACTCAACACTGCCCATAGACTCAACACTACCCACAGACTCAACACTACCCACAGACTCCACACTGCACACAGACTCCACACTGCACACAAATCCTCCCTCCTTCTCTCCCCTCCCTCCCCTCCCACGACTGCTTTGTTGTGGCGGGCGGTCCGGATCGGCTGTAGCCGGATCACCGCTGCTGATCAGATCTCCCCCGCCACACGCACGACGCCTCCCTCGCCGGGGGCTACACAATTCTTATATTCTTGGCTCTTTCGGTAAAGTCACGTAAATATAAAACTAAAACTAAAAAATACAAAATAAAAAAAACCCGTTGAATTAAAAAAAAGTAATCAATTGAAAAAATAAAAAAATAAAAACAAAATGAAAATAATAAGAGCAAGAAACTCACGACGTTTCGATCGCAACACAAGCGGTCTTCATCAGGCGGAGAGAAAAGAAAACAGTTTTTAAGTCAAAATGTACACAATTATTATTATTATTGATTTGCCGCTTTCGAAACTGCAGAAACAATAATAAACTCAACACTACCTACGTGACTTCACGTAGGTGGAAAAAAAATAAGCGGTATAATTATTGTTGGACTTAAAGCTTTCGTGACTGCAGGGATTCATATTCTTGGTTCTTTCGGTAAAGTCACGACGTAGAAGGGAAACAATAAAATAATAAAAGAGTATTATTATTATTATCCCGTTTGCTGCGCTCCGTGACCGAAGAGAAGAGAGAGACGAGAGAAAGACAGAGAGCAGGGCTATGTGTCCACGTGGGGTGTGGTGTGAGTGAGCGCCTGTGAGCGTGTGGACATTTAAACTCAAGATATTTAAACCCTTGAGACGTTTAGCCCCAGGGTGCAAGGTCCCCCCCCCACCTCCCACACTGAGCTGAGCTGCTGTTGAGTGAAGTGCTCCCTGGATGGCGAGAGTGGGCTGATTGCCATCCTGATCATCATCATCAACATCAAAGCCGTCGTTATTTTTGTTGCTGCTGCTGCTGTGTGGGAATTCGTAGCATCCAAATGTAGTCGAAAGGCGTGTTCGTACAGACTCGTGGAAACTTATAGATCCCGCAGAGACCCACAGAGACCCATACAGACCCATAGAGACCCACAAAGACACATATAGGCCCACAGAGGCCCACAGAGACCCACAGAGACCCATAGAGACCCACAGAGACCCACAGAGACCCATATAAATACATACTCATAGAGACCCATAGACCCGCAGAGGCCAACATAGACCCATACTTATAGAGACCCATACAGACCCATAGACAAACAGAGACCCATAGACCCACAGAGACCCATAGGGACCCTTACTCATAGAAACCCATAGAGACCCATAGACCCACAGAGGTCCCATAAGGATCCATACTCATAGGGATGCATAGAGTCCCATAGACAAACAGAGGCCCATACACCCACAGAGACTCGTTCCGATAGAGACTCATAGATCCATAGATACTCGTAGAGACGCATAGGCCCCACAGGAACTTATAGCAGCCAAATACTCTGAACGCGCGATGTTAATTCGAAATGTGGAGGGGGAAAATCGGAGGAACCCGGATACAAATCCTCACTAACACGGGGAGAGAGAGACGAAAACTCCAAATATACAGCAGCAGGCATCGTCAGGGTCGGGATCGAACCCACGACCTCCTGTAGACCAGGCGAGGTAGTCAACATCCCCTAGCCACCGTGGTGATGATGATGAGAGAGAGACACTCAAACTCCACATATACAGCAGCACGCATCGTTAGGGTCGGGATCGAACCCACGACCTCCTGTATACCAGGCGAGGTAGTCAACATCCCCTAGCCACCACGGCGCCGTTATGGGGAGCGGTGGTGCAGCGGTTAGTGCTGCGCTCCGAACCCCAACCAACAGCGGTGGCGAGTATCTGAAGCGGTCCTGGGCCTCCCCTAGGTCGACTCAGCCTCAAATGAGTAACCTGGTGCGGTGTGTAGTAAACATCGCCACTGGGGAGACAAAGGCGGCCGGACGTGGTGCTGGTCAGCCACCCCCTCGTGTGCCACAGCGCCGGTAGCCTTCATAGGCGCTGCTCGCTAACAGCACTTGCCCCTACAGCCTGTTAGAGGCTACACGGGGGATCTTTGTCTGTGTATAGGCGCTGCTGCTACTCGCTAACAGCACTTGCCCCGACAGCCTGTTAGAGGCTACACGGGGGATCTTTGTCTGTGTATAGGCGCTGCTACTCGCTAACTAACAGCACTTGCCCCGACAGCCTGTTAGAGGCTACACGGGGGATCTATGTCTGTGTATAGGTGCTGCTGCTACTCGCTACTAACAGCACTTGCCCCTACAGCCTGTTGGAGGCTACACGGGGGATCTTTGTCTGTGTATAGGTGCTGCTGCTACTCGCTACTAACATCACTTGCCCCTGCAGTCTGCTGGAGGCTACACGGGGGATCTGTGTCTGTGTATAGGTGCTGCTGCTACTCGCTAACAGCACTTGCCCCTACAGCCTGTTAGAGGCTACACGGCGGGATCCTTGTCTGTGTATAGGTGCTGCTGCTACTCGCTAACAGCACTTGCCCCTACAGCCTGTTAGAGGCTACACGGGGGATCTTTGTCTGTGTATAGGTGCTGCTGCTACTCGCTACTACTAACAGCACTTGCCCCTACAGCCTGTTAGAGGCTACACGGGGGATCTTTTTCTGTGTATAGTCGCTGCTGCTACTCGCTACCACTCTCAGCACTTGCCCCCCTACAGTCTGCTGGAGGCGACTTCTCTCCAGGGCTTCTCAGTGTTCTGTGGAGGAGGCATTCTCCAGCGCATTGTTTTACTGATTAGAGTTCCAGAAGAACCAGTTTGTGGACAATCCACGGGTCAAGTTGGTAATTGACTTTTGTTTTTTGCGGGAGTCGCTTTGGGGGGGGGGAGGGGATTGGGGGGGGGGGGTCATAATGATCGCGTCATTTAACAACAACGATAAAGTTGAGTGGCGCCAATCCATCCTCCACACGACGCTGCCGCTCAATGAAGTTGGCACGTGATGAACGAACGGTGTCGTAGACGTTTTAATGTTTATTTTTACAACGGAGCAATTAAAAAAAATCTGATTTCTGGATATTGCCGCTGGGAGCTTCCATCTATCGTTACCCCAATCACTGCCCCTATCACTACCCCCCATGGATACCCCCATCGATACCCTTATTGATACCCCTATCACTACCCCCATCGATACCCCTATCGATACCCCTATCACTACCCCCATCGATACCCCTATAGATACCCTTATCACTGCCCCTATCGCTACCCCTATCGCTACCACTACCCCTATCGATACCCCTATCACTACCCCTACCACTACCCCTATCGCTACCCCTACCGCTACCCCTAGCACTACCCCTATCGCTACCACTATCACTACCACCATCACCACCCCTACCACTACCCCTACCACTACCCCCATCGATATCCCTATCGCTACCCCTATCACCACCCCTACTGCCACCCCTATCGCTACCCATATCGCTACCCCTATCACTACCCCTATCACTACCCCCTATCGCTACCCCTATCGCTACCACCATCACCAACCCTATCACTACCCCTACCACTAGCCCTACCACTACCCCTATCGCTACCCCTATCACTACCCCTATCACTACCCCTATCACTACCCCTATCGCTACCCCTATAACTACCCCAATCGATGCTCCTATCACCGTCCCTATCGCTGCCACTATCACTGCCGCAATCTCTACCCCAAACCCTATCACTGTCACGGTTCGAAATCAGCGGCAAGCCTGGTTAATACTGCCACGGTGTATGTACAGCATTAACGGTGAACAATACCTGCGTGTACCCCTCCTCCTACTCCTCCTACTCCACCTCCTCCACCTCGTCCACACAGCCCTCATCATCGGCTACTATGTCATCTTCTACCTCGTCCTGGCCGCGATGTTCGCCTTCACCATGTGGGTGATGCTGCAGACGATCAGCGACGAGAGGCCCAAGTACCAGGACCGCGTCCAGAACCCTGGCACGTACACTCACAACTACCCTGGGTTACTTTACACTCACAACTACACTGGGTTACTTTACACTCACAACTACCCTGGGTTAGTTACACTCACAACTACCCTGGGTCACTTTACACTCACAACTACACTGGGTTAGTTACACTCACAACTACCCTGGGTTAGTTACACTCACAACTACACTGGGTTAGTTACACGCACAACTACACTGGGTTAGTTACACTCACAACTACACTGGGTTAGTTACACTCACAACTACCCTGGGTTACTTTACACTCACAACTACACTGGGTTAGTTACACTCACAACTACCCTGGGTTAGTTACACTCACAACTACCATGGGTTAGTTACACTCACAACTACCCTGGGTTACTTACACGCTGATCGTCGTGATAATGCTGCTGATGCTGCTGATGATGCTGCTGATGATGATGCTGCTGATGATGCTCACGATGCTGATGATGATGCTGCTGCTGATGATGATGCTGCTCCTGATTATGATGATGATGCTGCTCCTGATGATGATGATGATGCTGCTCCTGATGATTATGATGATGCTGCTGATGATGATGCTGCTGCTGATGATGCTGATGATGCTGCTGCTGATCATGCTCATGATGCTGCTGATGATGAAGCTGATAATGATGATGCTTCTGGCGCGTGCTGCAGGCGTGATGATCCGGCCGCGTACGGAGAATCTGGACGTCACCTTCAACATCTCCCAAAGCGATTCCTACTCCAAATTCACGCAGTCCATCGACTCCTTCCTCAAGAGTGAGTCTCCAGTCCACCAAAGTCGCCTACAATCTCTGTCTCTCTCCATCTCCCCCCATCTCTCTCTAACTCTCCCCATCCATCTCTCTCTCCATCTCTCTCCCCATCTCTCTCTCCATCTCTCTAACTCCCTCCTCGTCTCTCCCCCCATGTCCCCATCTCTCTACCTCTCGCCCCATCTCCCCATTTCTCTCCCCATCTCTCTCCCCATCTCTCTCTAACTCTCTCCCCATCTCTCTCCCCATCTCTCTAACTCCCTCCTCATCTCTCCCCCCATGTCCCGATCTCTCTACCTCTCACCCCATCTCCCCATCTCTCTCCCCATCTCTCTCCCCATCTCCCCATCTCTCTCTAACTCTCTCCCCATCTCTCTCCCCATCTCTCTAACTCCCTCCTCATCTCTCCCCCCATGTCCCGATCTCTCTACCTCTCACCCCATCTCCCCATCTCTCTCCCCATCTCCCCATCTCTCTCTAACTCTCTCCCCATCTCTCTCCCCATCTCTCTCCCCATCTCTCTACCTCTCGCCCCATCTCCCCATCTCTCTCCCCATCTCTCTCTAACTCTCTCCCCAACTCTCTCTCCATCTCCCTCCCCATTTCTCTCCCCATCTCTCTCTAACTCCCTCTAACTCTCTCTAACTCTCTCCCAAACTCCCCATATCTCTCCCCATCTCTCCCCATCTCTCTCCCCATCTCTCTCTAATTCTCTCCCAAACTCTCTCCCCATCTCGCCCCATCTCTCTCCCCATCTCTCTCTAACTCTCTCCCCATCTCTCTCCCCATTTCTCTCCCCAACTCTCTCCCCATCTCTCTCCCCATCTTGCCCCATCTCTCTCCCCATCTCTCTCTAATTCTCTCCCAAACTCTCTCCCCATCTCGCCCCATCTCTCTCCCCATCTCTCTCTAACTCTCTCCCCATCTCTCTCCCCCCATCTCCCCATCTCTCTCTAACTCTCCCCCCATCTCCCCATCTCTCTCCCCATCTCTCTCCCCATCTCTCTCTAACTCTCTCTCCATCTCCCTCCCCATCTAACTCTCCCCAACCCTCTCTAACTCTCTCCCAAACTCTCTCCCCATCTCTCTCCCCATCTCTCTCCCCATCTGTCTCCCCATCTCTCTCTAACTCTCTCCCCATCTCTCTCCCCATGTCTCTCTAACTCTCTCCCCATCTCTCTCCCCATCTCTCTCCCCATCTCTCTCTAACCCTCCCCCCATCTCTCCCCCCATCTCTCCCCCCATCTCTCTCTAACTCTCCCCCCATCTCTCCCCCCATCTCCCTCCCCATCTCTCTCTAACCCTCCCCCCATCTCTCCCCCCATCTCTCCCCCCATCTCTCTCTAACTCTCCCCCCATCTCTCCCCCCATCTCTCCCCCCATCTCTCTCTAACCCTCCCCCCATCTCTCCCCCCATCTCTCCCCCCATCTCTCTCTAACTCTCCCCCCATCTCTCCCCCCATCTCTCTCCCCATCTCTCTCCCCATCTCTCCCCATCTCTCCCCATCTCTCTCCCCATCTCCCTCCCCATCTCTCTCCCCATCTCTCTCTAACTCTCTCCCCATCTCTCTCCCCATCTCTCTCCCCCCATCTCCCCATCTCTCTCTAACTCTCCCCCCATCTCCCCATCTCTCTCTAACTCTCCCCCCATCTCTCTCCCCATCTCCCTCCCCATCTCTCTCTAACTCTCTCCCCATCTCTCTCCCCATCTCCCTCCCCGTGTGCCGCCCAGCCTACGACAACCAGTCGGTGGAGTGGCCTCGGTGCACTCCGGGATTCTTCCGCGACGAGCAGGGATCCCCCGTGGGCCACCTCCTGACCGCTGTGCCCACGCGTTGCTACTTCAACCGCTCGCTGCTCGCAAACTGCTCGGGGCTCAGCGACCTCAGCTACGGCTACGCCAGCGGTCAGCCATGCGTGCTCGTCAAGATCAACCGCGTGAGTCGATGCTCATGATTGATGCTGCTCTGTCCGTCTCTGTGTCTCTCTCTCTTGTCGCTGTCTCTGTCTGCCTGTGTCTCTCTCTCTCTCTGTCTGTGTGTCTCTCTGTTTCTGTCTGTCTCTGTCTGTCTGTGTCTCTCTCTGTCTGTGTCTCTGTCTGTGTCTGTCTCTCTGTCTCTGTCTCTCTCTCTCTCTCTCTTGTCGCTGTCTCTGTCTGCCTGTGTCTCTCTCTCTGTCTCTCTGTCTGTGTGTCTCTGTCTTTCTGTCTCTCTGTCTCTGTCTGTCTGTGTCTCTCTCTGTCTGTGTCTCTGTGTCTCTTTCTCTCTGTCTGTGTGTTTTTGTCTTTCTGTCTCTCTGTCTGTCTGTCTATGTCTGTCTCTCTGTCTCTGTCTCTCTGTCTTTCTCTCTCTCGTCGCTCTCTCTGTCTCTCTGTCTGTCTGTGTCTCTCTGTCTGTCTCTCTGTCTGCCTGTGTCTCTCTCTGTCTCTGTCTCTCTCTCTGTCTCTCTGTCTGTGTGTCTCTGTCTTTCTGTCTCTCTGTCTCTGTCTGTCTGTGTCTCTCTTTGTCTGTGTCTGTCTCTCTGTCTCTGTCTCTCTCTCTCGTCGCTCTCTCTGTCTGTCTGTGTCTGTCTGTGTCTCTCTGTCTGTCTCTGTCACTTTCTCTCTGCCTGTGTGTCTCTGCCTGTCTGCCTCTCTGTCTATGTCTGTCTCTCTCTGTCTGTCTCTGTCTGTCTATGTCTGTCTCTCTGTCTCTCTGTCTTTCTCTCTCTGTCGCTCTCTCTGTCTCTCTGTCTGTGTCTGTCTGTGTCTCTCTGTCTGTCTCTCTGTCTCTGTCTGCCTGTGTCTCTCTCTGTCTCTGTCTCTTTCTCTCTGTCTGTGTGTCTCTGTCTGTCTGTCTCTCTGTCTCTGTCTTTCTCTCTCATCGCTCTCTCTGTCTGTCTGTCTGTGTCTCTCTCTCTGTCTCTTTCTCTTTCACTCTGTCTGTGTGACTCTGTCTTTCTGTCTCGTTGTCTCTGTCTGTCTGTGTGTCTCTCTGTCTCTTTCTCTCTGTCTGTGTCTCTCTGTCTCTTTCTGTCTGTGTCTCTCTCTGTCTGTCTATGTCTGTCTCTCTGTCGCTGTCTCTCTGTCTTTATCTCTCTCGTCACTCTCTCTGTCTGTCTGTGTCTGTCTGTGTATCTCTGTCTCTCTGTTTCTGTCTGTCTGTCTCTCTCTATGTCTCTGTCTAGGTGTCTCTGTCTCGGTGTCTCTCTCTCTCGGTATCTCTCTCGGTGTCTCTCTCGGTGTATCTCTCTCTCTCTCTGTGTCTCTCTCTCTCGGTGTCTCTCTGTCTCTGTCTATCTTGTCGCTCTCTCTGTCTGTCTCTGTCTCTCTCTCTGTCTGTCTGCCTCTCTCTCTGTGTCTGTGTGTCTCTCTCTCTGTCTCTGTCTGTCTGTGTCTCTCTTTGTCTGTCTCTCTGTCTCTGTCTCTTTCTCTGTCTCTCTGTCTGTCTGTGTCTGTCTGTGTCTCTCGCTGTCTCTCTGTTTCTGTCTGTCTCTCTGAGTGTCTCTCTCTCTGTGTCTCTGTCTGTGCCTGTCTGTGTCTCTCTCTGTCTCTCTGTTTCTGTCTGTCTGTGTCTCTCTGTCTCGCTGTCTCTTTCTGTTTGTCTGTGTCTCTCTCTCTTTCTCTTTCAGTCAGTGTCTCTCTCTCAGTGTCTCTCTCTGTATGTCTCTCTTGTCGCTCTCTCTGTCTCTCTCTCTCTGTCTTTCTGTCTGTCTGTCTCTTTCTCTCTGTCTTTCTCTCTCTTGTCGCTCTCTCTGTCTGTGTGTCTCTCTCTGTCTGTCTGTGTCTCTCTGTCTGTGTCTCTTTGTCTGTCTCTCTCTCTGTCTGTGTCTCTCTCTGTCTGTCTGTGTCTCTCTGTCTGTCTCTCTCTGTCTGTGTCTCTCTGTCTCTCTCTCTGTCTGTGTCTCTTTCTGTCTGTCTCTATCTCTCTCGCTGTCTGTGTCTCTATCTGTCTGTGTGTCTCTCTCTCTGTCTCTGTCTCTCTCTGTCTGTCTCTCTGTCTGTCTGTGCCTGTCTGTGTCTCTCTGTCTGTGTGTCTTTCTCTTTGTCTGTATCTCTCTGTCTGTGTGTCTTTCTCTGTCTGTGTCTCTCTGTCTGTCTCTCTCTCTGTCTGTCTCTCTCTGTCTGTGTCTCTCTCTGTCTGTGTATCTCTCTCTGTCTGTGTCTCTATCTGTCTGTGTGTCTCTCTCTCTCTCTGTCTGTTTGTCTGTGTCTATCTGTCTGTCTCTCTCTCTCTCTGTTTGTATCTCTCTGTGTGTGTCTCTCTCTCTCTGTCTGTCTCTCTCTCGTCGCTCTCTTTGTCTGTGTCTCTCTCTCTCTCTGTGTCTCTCTCTCTGTCTGTCTCTCTCTCTCTCGTCGCTCTCTCTGTCTGTCTGTGTCTCTCTCTGTCTGTGTCTGTCTGTCTGTCTCTCTCTCTGTTGTTGTTTATTGTTGTTGTTTATTGTTGTGTGTGTTGTTGTTTATTGTTGTTGTTTATTGTTTGTGTGTGTTGTTGTTTATTGTTGTTGTGTGTGTTGTTGTTTATTGTTTGTGTGTATTGTTTGTGTGTGTTGCTGTGTATTGTTGTTGTGTATTGTTGTTGTGTTGTTGTTGTTTATTGTTGTTGTTTATTGTTGTGTATTGTTGTTGTTTATTGTTTGTGTGTGTTGTTGTTTATTGTTGTTGTGTGTGTTGTTGTTTATTGTTTGTGTGTATTGTTGTTAATTGTTGTTGTGTGTTGTTGTTGTTGTTGTTGTGTGTTGTTTATTGTTGTTGTGTGTGTTGTTTATTGTTGTTGTGTATTGTTGTTATTTATTGTTGTTGTGTGTTGTTGTTTATTGTTGTTGTGTGTGTTGTTGTTTATTGTTTGTGTGTGTTGTTGTTAATTGTTGTTGTGTGTTGTTGTTGTTGTTGTTGTGTGTTGTTTATTGTTGTTGTGTGTGTTGTTTATTGTTGTTGTGTATTGTTGTTATTTATTGTTGTTGTGTGTTGTTGTTTATTGTTGTTGTATATTGTTGTTGTTTATTGTTGTGTATTGTTGTTGTGTATTGTTGTTGTTTATTGTTGTTGTGTATTGTTGTTGTGTATTGTTGTTTATTGTTTGTGTGTTGTTGTTTATTGTTGTTGTGTGTGTTGTTGTTTATTGTTGTTGTTTATTGTTGTTGTTTATTGTTGTTGTTTATTGTTGTTTATTGTTGTTGTTTATTCTTGTTGTTTATTCTTGTTGTTTATTGTTGTTGTTTATTGTTGTTGTGTATTGTTGTTGTTTAATGTTGTTGTTTATTGTTCTTGTTTATTGTTGTTGTTTATTGTTGTTGTTGTGTGTTGTTGTGTATTGTTGTTGTTGTTTATTGTTTGTGTGTGTGTGTGTTGTTGTTGTTTAGGTGATCGGCTACAAGCCTGGGGACACGAACATATCAGCGAGCGTCAACTGCACAGCGGTACGACGGAGTGGAGTGATACAACTATATATTATATAATATACACAACAATTATATATTACACAATATACACAAATATATATATATATATATATAATATACACAATTATATATTACACAATATACACAACAATTATATATTATATAATATACACAACAATTCTATATTACATAATATATGCAATAATTATATATTACATAATATACACAACAATTATATATTATATAATATACACAACAATTATATATTACATAATATACACAATTATTTATTATATAATAAACACAACAGTTATATATTACATAATATACGCAATAATTATATATTGCATAATATACACAATTATATATTATATAATATACACAACAATTATATATTACACAATATACACAATTATATATTATTAAATATACACAACAATTATATATGACATAATATACACAACAATTATATATTACATAATATATACAACAATTATATATCACATAATATACACAACAATTATATATTACATAATATGCACAATTATACATTACATAATATATATATAATTATATTACTTGATATACACAATTATATATATAACATACATAACAATTATATATTGCACAATATACACAACAATAATATATCACATAATATACACAACAATTATATATTACGTAATATACACAACAATTATATATTACACAATATACACAACAACTATATATTACATAATATACACAACAATTATATATTACATAATATATACAACAATTATATATTACATAATGTACACAACAATTATATATTATATAATATACACAATTGTATATTATATAATATACACAATTACATATCACATAATATACACAATTATATATATATTACATAACATACACAATTACATATTACATAATATACACAACAATTATATATTGCATAATATATACAACAATTATATATAACATAATATACGCAACAATATTATTACATATTATACACAACAATTATATATTATAAAATATACACAACAATTACATAATACACAATATACACAACAATTATAGAGAGAGAGGACGACTCAGAGAGAGAGAGGGCGACTCAGAGAGAGAGAGCCTCACAGAGAGAGAGACTCAGAGAGGGAGAGAGGGCGACTTAGAGAGAGCCTCACAGAGAGAGAGACTCAAAGAGAGAGAGGATGACTCAGAGAGAGAGAGAGGGCGACTTAGAGAGAGCCTCACACAGAGAGAGAGAGCCTCACAGAGAGAGAGACTCAGAGAGGGAGAGAGGGCGACTCAGAGAGAGCCTCACAGAGAGAGAGAGAGACTCAAAGAGAGAGAGGACGACTCAGAGAGAGAGAGGGCGACTTAGAGAGAGCCTCACAGCGAGAGAGAGACTCAGAGAGAGTAAGGACGACTCAGAGAGAGAGAGACTCAGAGAGAGAGAGTGAGGACGACTCAGAGAGAGAGAGGGCGACTTAGAGAGATCCTCACAGAGAGAGAGAGACTCAGAGAGAGTAAGGACGACTCAGAGAGAGAGAAAGGGCGACTTAGAGAGAGCCTCACAGAGAGAAAGAGAGACTCAGAGAGAGTGAGGACGACTCAGAGAGAGAGAGAGAGGGCGACTTAGAGAGAGCCTCACAGAGAGAGAGAGAGAGACTCAGAGAGAGTGAGGTCGACTCAGAGAGAGAGAGAGAGGGCAACTTAGAGAGAGCCTCACAGAGAGAGAGAGACTCAGAGAGAGAGAGTGAGGACGACTCAGAGAGAGAGAGAGAGAGGGCGACTTAGAGAGAGCCTCACAGAGAGATAGATTCAGAGAGGGAGAGAGGACGACTCAGAGAGAAAGAGGGCGACTCAGAGAGAGAGAGAGAGAAAGGGCGATTTAGAGAGAGCCTCACACAGAGAGAGACTCAGAGAGCGAGAGACTCAGAGAGGGAGAGACTCAGAGAGGGAGAGAGGGCGACTTAGAGAGAGCCTCACAGAGAGAGAGACTCAGAGAGAGAGAGGGCGACTCAGCGAGATAGAGGGCGACTTAGAGAGAGCCTCACAGAGAGAGAGAGGGCGACTTAGAGAGAGCCTCACAGAGAGAGAGAGACTCAGAGAGAGTGAGGACGACTCAGAGAGAGAGAGGGCGACTTAGAGAGAGCCTCTCAGAGAGAGAGAGACTCAGAGAGAGTGAGGTCGACTCAGAGAGAGAGAGAGAGGGCGACTCAGAGAGAGCGACCTTTAGGAGACAGCCTGACGTGGGTGTGCTTCTGTGCGTGTCGTCGCCTCCCTGCTGCTCCTGCTGCTGATGATTTCCAGAAAGACACGGACCTGGGACCTCTGAAGTTCTACCCTGAAAACAAATTCGATCCAATGTACTTCCCCTACTATGGCAAGAAAACAGACGTGAGTGTGTGAAGAGTCACCAACATCAGCATCATCATCAACAGCATCATCAGCAGCATTATCATTAGCAGCATCATCAGCATCATCATCAGCATTATCATCACCAGCAGCATCATCAGCATCAGCAGCATTTCAACATGAAGTGTGTCTAGTTGGAATGACACGCGCAGCAGCTGTCACATCCTACTGATAGACTCGTGCACAGAGAGAGCTGCCACTGGGGGTGCCCCTCTGTTAAACCCACACAGCAGCAGCAGCAGCAATCATCGCTACACCTACTGGCAGCAGACTGATGCACAGTGACAGCTGCCACTGGGGGTGCCCCTAGGCTAGACCCACACAGCAGCAATCATCGCTACCCCTACAGGCAGCAGACTGATGCACAGTGACAGCTGCCACTGGGGGTGCCCCTAGGCTAGACCCACACAGCAGCAGCAGCGATCATCGCTAACCCTACTGGCAGCAGACTGATGCGAAGTGACAGCTGCCACTGGGGGTGCCCCTAGGCTAGACCCACACAGCAGCAGAAGCAGCAGCAATCATCGCTAACCCTACTGGCAGCAGACTCATGCACAGGTACAGCTGCCACTGGGGGTGCCCCTACTCTCCGTGTCTACATCTCTCTCTCTCTCCATCTCCCCTCTCCCGATCCCAAATCCCCTTCCCTCCCCGTCTCCTCTCTCCGTCGTCCGCCCCTCGCAGGGTGCCTACCGTCAGCCCGTGGTGGCCGTGCAGTTCCTGAGCCCGCCCCGCAACACCGATCTGCAGGTGGTGTGCCGCCTGTCGGGGCCCAACGTAGTCGTGGACGAAAACAACCGAGACAAGTTCATCGGCCGCGTCGAGTTCCACCTCCAGGTCTCCAACTAGTGGGAGGGTGGGATTGGGGGGGGATGGGGGACAGAGACGATGACGACACGCGGGACACACGCGACTTCGTTCATTAGGGACTCCTAGCTTCGTTTCCCGTGGTCCGCGACTTCATTTCTTGTGACCCATGACGTCATTTCCTGTGGCCCATGACTTCATTTCCTGTGGCCCATGACGTCATTTCCTGTGGCTCATGACTTCATTTCCTGTGGCCAATGACTTCAATTGTTATGATTCATGACTTCAATTCTTGTGACCCATGACTTCATTTCCTGTGGCCCATGACGTCATTTCCTGTGGCCCATGACTTCATTTCCTGTGGCCAATGACTTAATTTCCTGTAGCTAATGACTTCATTTCCTGTGGCCAATGACTTCAGTTGTTATGATTCATGACTTCAATTCTTGTGACCCATGACTTCATTTCCTGTGGCCCATGACGTCATTTCCTGTGGCCCATGACGTCATTTCCTGTGGCCAATGGCTTCATTTCCTGTGGCCAATGACTTCATTTCCTGTGGCCAATGACTTCATTTCCTGTGACCCATGACTTCATTTCCTGTGGCCCATGACGTCATTTCCTGTGGCCAATGGCTTCATTTCCTGTGGCCAATGACTTCATTTCCTGTGGCCAATGACTTCATTTCCTGTGGCCAATGACTTCATTTCCTGTGGCCAATGACTTCATTTACTGCGGCCCATAACTTAATTTCTTATGGCCCACGACTTCAATTCTTATGGCCCATGACTTCATTTCCTGTGGCCTATGACTAAATTTTCCATCGCCCGCGGCTTAATTTCTCACGACCCACGACGTCAATTCTTGTGGCCTGTGACTTCATTTTCTTGTGGCCGCCAACTTAATTTCATGTGGCTCCCAACTGAATTTCCCGTGGCCCGAAAATGCATTTCCTGTGGCCTTTGGGCCAGACTTCACTTCACAAAAACAAGAATCAGGCCACTCTCAGTGCCTGCGGTTTGAGCCCTGAGTCTGGATGTCTCTCTATATATCTGGGTGGTTCATAATGGCCGTGTCGTAGAAATTGAGCCAACACCACCGAGACCCTGGGTTCGAGTTCTGAGTGTGGGTTTTTCTGATAGATCTATGTGTGAGTATGTGGGTCTGTTTGTTAGTATATGGGTCTCGATATGAGTCTATGGGTCTTTATGACTCTATAGGTCTATGTGACTCTGTGTGTTTGTGTTTGTGGGTCTCTGTGTGAGTCTGTGGGTCTCTGTGTGAGTCTATAGGTCTTTGTGTGAGTCTATAGGTCTCCGTGTGAGTCTATGGGTCTCTGGGTGAGTCTATGGGTCTCTGTGTGAGTCTATGGGTCTCTGTGTGAGTCTACGGGTCTCTGTGTGAGTCTACGGGTCTCTGTGTGAGTCTATGGGTGCTGTAATCCCTTTGGTTTGAGGCTGACACTCGGGACTCGAACCCAAGGGATCTCAGCTTCTGTGCACATCTGAGCCATCGGGTCTCCACGATATAGTGTAAATATACAAACATAACAACAATAATCACCATAGTCCATATTAGCCACTACAAAGACAACATAGGGGAAGTGTAAATGTATGATACTTGATAGGTCCAACAGCGGTGGCGTAAGTGACGACATCAGCTCAATGGTGGAGGGGTTGGTTGTGGAATATCGGGTTTTTGATGAGTTTAACGCGACCAATATCCGTTAAAGAGGTTTCGCTGGGTTAGATCGCGTAAATATGAATGTGTCTTGACTTAAAGCTTTCGTGGCTGCAGGAATTCATATTCTTTGGGTCTTTCGGCAAAGTCGCGTAGATAGGTTCAAAGAAAATTAAAAAAACTACGACGTTTCGATAGCAACACAAGCGATCGAAACGTCGTAGTTTTTTTGTTATTTTTCTTTGAACCTATCTACGCGACTTTGCCGAAAGACCCAAAGAATATAAATGTGTCGGTAAACCTGCCACCACCCGACACGGCCAACTAGTAAGGTTTGTCACGTGAACAGAACGTGCCCAATTCGTTTCGAGTACAGCAACAAACCGGTTGCGTGTTGGAGAGCAAATCCACAATATTTGACAAATCTGAGATTTTTTTTTTATTAATGATATATATATGATTGATTACACCGTGTAACACTATTTTTTGTTCCTGGGTAGTAAGTGTTATATTCTAATTGCTTATGCCGAAAAAGTATAGAAAGTGGCTTTTATACCCCACGAACTTTTCTTCGTGACTAGGACTTCATGTGAACGGAAGACGCAAATTCGCATTTATTCTCATTGAAAATTGGTACGTTACAAAATATCGCTGTCCTGGTCACAAAAGCAAAGTTCGTGGGGAATAATAGCCACTTTCTGCACTTTTCAGGCTTATGCAATTATAAAAAATACCACTTACTACCCAAGAACAAAAAATATAATAAAAAAATGTTGTTACACAGTGTTTTGAGATATCGCGGATTCCTCTCGCCCCAATCGTCATCTTCGTCGTCGTCGTCATCGACACAATATCGTCACTTTCCGCGTAGCGGTCTGGGACGTTTGACGCCAGGACACTGGAACGGCTCCCGTGTCCGCGCGGAGCGGCAGCGTGGGCCATGAGCGAGGAGCGGCCGCGTTTGTATCGGCTGTAACTTTTGAAAAGTGAAATTAAAAAAAGGCAAAAAAAATCGGAAATGACGGAAAAGTATTTTTTGTTTAATTGGTGGCGCCTCGGTTTCAATTGCGTCTGAGGCACCACACACACATACCCAGAACGTGCAATGTTGTTGGTTGACGAAGGCAACCCAATCCACCCAACCCAACCAACCCAACCCACCCAACCCACCCAACCCACCCACCCAACCCACCCACCCACCCAACCCACCCAACCCACCCAACCACCCAACCCAACCCAACCCACCCAACCCACCCAACCCACCCACCCCACCCACCCACCCAACCCAACCCACCCACCCAACCCACCCAACCCACCCACCCACCCAACCCACCCACCCAACCCACCTAACCCACCCAACCCACCCACCCAACCCACCCACCCACCCAACCAACCCAACCCACCCACCCAACCCAACCCAACCCAACCCACCCAACCCACCCACCCACCCACCCAACCCAACCCAACCCACACAACCCACCCACCAACCCAAACCAACCCAACCCACCCACCCAACCCACCCACCCACCCACCCCACCCACCCAACCCACCCACCCACCCAACCCAACCCAATCCACTCAACCCAACCCACCCAACCCACCCAACCCACCCAACCCACCCAACCCAACCCAACCCACCCACCCACCCAACCCACCCACCCAACCCACCCAACCCACCCACCCAACCCAACCCACCCAACCCAACCAACCCACCCAACCCACCCACCCAACCCACCCAACCCACCCACCCAACCCACCCAACCCACCGAACCCACCCAACCCACCCACCCAACCCACCCAACCCACCCAACCCACCCACCCACCCAACCCAACCCACCAAACCCACCCAACCCAACCCACCCAACCCACCCAACCCACCCACCCACCCAACCCAACCCACCAAACCCACCCAACCCAACCCACCCAACCCACCGAACCCACCCACCCAACCCAACCCACCCAACCCAACCCACCCAACCCACCCACCCAACCCACCCAACCCACCCAACCCACCCACCCAAACCCAACCCACTCAACCCACCCACCCAACCCACCCAACCCACCCAACCCACCCACCCAACCCACCCAACCCACCCAACCCACCCACCCAACCCACCCAACCCAACCCAACCCACCCAACCCACCCAACCCACCCACCCACCCAACCGACCCACCCAACCCAACCCACCCAACCCACCCAACCCACCCACCCACCCAACCCAACCCACCCAACCCACCCAACCCACCCAACCCACCCACCCAACCCAACCCACCCAACCCACCCACCCAACCCACCCACCCAACCCACCCAACCCACCCACCCAACCCACCCACCCAACCCACCCAACCCACCCAACCCACCCACCCAACCCACCCAACCCACCCACCCCACCCACCCACCCAACCCAACCCACCCACCCACCCAACCCAACCCACCCACCCACCGACCCACCCAACCCACCCACCCAACCCACCCAACCCACCCACCCAACCCACCCAACCCAACCCACCCACCCAACCCACCCAACCCACCCACCCCACCCACCCACCCCACCCAACCCAACCCACCCACCCACCCAACCCACCCACCCACCCAACCCAACCCACCCAAACCACCCAACCCACCCAACCCACCCACCCAACCCAACCCACCCAACCCACCCACCCAACCCACCCAACCCACCCAACCCACCCACCCCACCCACCCACCCACCCAACCCAACCCACCCACCCACCCAACCCAACCCACCCACCCACCCACCCAACCAACCCACCCAACCCACCCAACCCACCCACCCAACCCACCCAACCCAACCCAACCCACCCAACCCACCCAACCCACCCACCCACCCAACCGACCCACCCAACCCAACCCACCCAACCCACCCAACCCACCCACCCACCCAACCCAACCCACCCAACCCACCCAACCCACCCAACCCACCCACCCAACCCAACCCACCCAACCCACCCACCCAACCCACCCACCCAACCCACCCAACCCACCCACCCAACCCACCCACCCAACCCACCCAACCCACCCAACCCACCCACCCAACCCACCCAACCCACCCACCCCACCCACCCACCCAACCCAACCCACCCACCCACCCAACCCAACCCACCCACCCACCGACCCACCCAACCCACCCACCCAACCCACCCAACCCACCCACCCAACCCACCCAACCCAACCCACCCACCCAACCCACCCAACCCACCCACCCCACCCACCCACCCAACCCAACCCACCCACCCACCCAACCCACCCACCCACCCAACCCAACCCACCCAACCCACCCAACCCACCCAACCCACCCACCCAACCCAACCCACCAACCCACCCACCCAACCCACCCAACCCACCCAACCCACCCACCCCACCCACCCACCCACCCAACCCAACCCACCCACCCACCCAACCCAACCCACCCACCCACCCACCCAACCACCCCACCCAACCCACCCAACCCACCCACCCACCCAACCCACCCACCCAACCCACCCAACCCAACCCACCCACCCAACCCACCCAACCCACCCACCCACCCAACCCAACCCACCCAACCCACCCAACCCACCCAACCCACCCACCCAACCCAACCCACCCAACCCACCCACCCAACCCACCCACCCAACCCACCCAACCCACCCACCCAACCCACCCACCCAACCCACCCAACCCACCCAACCCACCCACCCAACCCACCCAACCCACCAACCCCACCCACCCACCCAACCCAACCCACCCACCCACCCAACCCAACCCACCCACCCACCGACCCACCCAACCCACCCACCCAACCCACCCAACCCACCCACCCACCCAACCCACCCACCCAACCCACCCAACCCAACCCACCCACCCAACCCACCCAACCCACCCACCCAACCCACCCACCCAACCCACCCACCCAACCCACCCAACCCACCCACCCAACCCAACCCACCCACCCAACCCAACCCACCCAACCCACCCAACCCAACCCACCCACCCACCACCCAACCCAACCCACCCACCCCAACCCAACCCAACCAACCCAACCCAACCCACTCAACCCACCCAACCCACCAACCCACCCAATCCAACCCACCCAACCCACCCACCCACCCATCCCAACCCACCCACCAAACCCACCCAACCCAACCCAACCCACCCACCCAACCCACCCAACCCACCCAACCCACCAACCCACCCAACCCACCCACCCACCCATCCCAACCCAACCACCAAACCCACCCAACCCAACCCAACCCACCAACCCACCCAACCCAACCCACCCAACCCAACCCACCCAACCCACCCAACCCACCCAACCAACCCACCCACCCAACCCAACCCAACCCACCCAACCCACCCACCCACCCAACCCACCCACCCACCCAACCCACCCACCCAACCCACCCACCCACCCGACCCAATCCACCCAACCCACCCACCCAACCCACCCAACCCAACCCACCCAACCCAACCCAACCCACCCAACCCACCCAACCCAACCCAACCCACCCAACCCACCCACCCAACCCAACCCAACCCACCCAACCCACCCACCCACCCAACCAACCCACCCACCCCACCCACCAATCCAACCCAACCCACCCAACCCACCCACCCAACCCACCCAACCCACCCAACCCACCCACCCAACCCACCGACCCACCCAACCCACCCAACCCACCCACCCAACCCACCCACCCAACCCACCCAACCCACCCACCCAACCCACCCAACCCACCCAGAGACACTGAGACAGTGATACTGAATACCTGGGTTCGAGTCCTGGGTCTGGGTGTATCTCTGTGGGTTCACAATGGCTATATCAGAGACACTGAGACAGTCATACTGAGTACCTGGTTCGAGTCCTGTGTCTGGGTGTATCTCTCCGGGTTCACAATGGCCATATCAGAGATACTGAGACAGTCATACTGAACACCTGGGTTCGAGTCCTGGGTCTGGGTGTCTCTCTGTGGGTTCACAATGGCCATGTCAGAGACATTGAGACAGTCATACTGAACACCTGGGTTCGAGTCCTGGGTCTGGGTGTATCTCTCTGTGGGTTCACAATGGCCATGTCAGAGACACTGAGACAGTCATACTGAATACCTGGGTTCGAGTCCTCGGTCTGGGTGTATCTCAGTGGGTTCACAATGGCCATGTCAGAGACACTGAGACAGTGATACTGAAAACCTGGGTTCGAGTCCTGAGTCTGGGTGTATCTCTGGGTGTTCACAATGGCCATGCCAGAGACACTGAGACAGTGATACTGAATACCTGGCTTCGAGTCCTGGGTTTGGGTGTATCTCTCTGGGGTGTTCACAATGGCCATGTCAGAGACACTGAGACAGTGATACTGAACACCTGGGTTCGAGTCCTGGGTCTGGGTGTCTCTCTGTGGGTTCACAATGGCCATGTGAGAGACATTGAGGCAGTGATACTGAATACCTGGGTTCGAGTCCTGGGTCTGGGTGTCTCTCTGTGGGTTCACAATGGCCATGTCAGAGACACTGAGAAAGTGATACTGAATACCTGGGTTCGAGTCCTGGGTCTGGGTGTCTCTCTGTGGGTTCACAATGGCCATGTCAGAGACACTGAGGCAGTGATACTGAATACCTGGGTGCGAGTCCTGGGTCTGGGTCTATCTCTGTGGGTTCATAACGGCCATGTAAGATACACTGATCACTGCTGAGATCTTAGGTTCGAGCCCTGGGTATGGGTGCCTCTCTCCCTGTGGGTTCATAATGGCCATGTCAGACAAACGGAGTAAGCACTGTTGAGATCCGTACGTCAAAGTTCAAACCCTGGGGCTGGGTGTTTACTGTCACGTGGTTCATGATGGATGTGAAGAAAAAAAAATGCTGATTCTAAAAATCTCAGGTGTGTGTTTGTTTGTGCATGAGTGGATGCGCGTGAGTGTGTGTGTCGCTATGTGTGTCACTGTGCGTGTATGTGTGTTACTGTGTGTGTGGCTGTGTATGTGTATCACCGTGTGTGCATGTCACTGTGTGTGTC